TATTTTTTTAGTTGTAGATACAAACAATACCTTTATTTATTTATTTCTATCTGGTGCTGAGGATCGAACCCAGTGCCAGGTGAGAGTGCTCTACCACTGAGCTACAGACCCAGCCCCTGCTATTATTTTTATTTCATTGAGAATTAGTATATATATCTGTTCACCCTGTCTTCATGCTATCAAATTCAGAACTCAATCTGATCTCTCTCTCTCTAGAACCAGATCACATATCGCCTGTTTGAAAGTTTAACCCCTGGGCTGGGCCGGCAGTGGATAGGAAGGTAGCTCTGTACTAGAGCACTTGATAAGCATGTGTGAGACCTTGGGTTCAATACCCAGTGCTGGGGAATGTCCTATTCTTCAATTCAGTCTCCATTCCAGCAAATAGCAGGTTTCAGTTAACAGTCTTTCTTTCTTCCTCCCTAGACCTGTATCATCTTATATGACACAGCCTCTGTGGTAGCAAATGGAATAGCTTCCTTATGTACAGGGATGCATGGGTAAGTTCAAATAGTGTGACTCCGGTACTTGGCTATTCATGCAGCACTTGTAGATCCATCACCCTAAACAAACCAAATTCCTAGCTACCACTACCTGCTTACAGACCCAGAGCCCAGATACTTCTGTTCAATTTCTTGGATATAACATGAGGTTTTTGCTGCTGTTTCTTTTTGGCACAGAATACAGCTTCCATTTTCTTTTTTTTCTTTTTATATTTTACCTATCACTCTAGTGAGAAATAGGATGCGTGCCTCAAAGCATGTATTCATATTTTCATCAGAAGTTCTACCTAACCACTGACTTATCTTCTTTCAAGACTCATATGAAAGAATTAACAGACTAAGCATGAACAAAGGCAAAACTGAAATAAAAGCAAAAACCTCTTACATGTAATTTTTGGTATATTTCTTGGCAATTATTTTTCAGTAAAAATAATAGGGGAAATGACTGTATGTAATATGTTTCAATTACTAAAGCATGTACAAAAAAATCTTAAAAGGTTTTAACTACTGACTAAATCTTAAGTGGGTTATGATGGCATATTTGGTTAATTAAAATAGGCTTAAGCCTACTTTAAAAACACTTCTACTTTCTTAATAATTAAAGCCCATAACATCTGACACTGAAGAATTAAATAATTATTATGACTGTTATTGCTATAAAGTTATAAAACTTTAAATAAAGCATCTTTCTCTACAGAACCTACTTATCAAGTTTTTAAAAATTTGTTTTGGGAACAGAAAGCAAGGCAGAGACAAGTAGAGGGAAGAGGTAGAGTAGTTAAGTTTTCAATACATTGGTGTCTATCATCAAAGGTTTCAGAAAAGTCCTCCTTTTCACAATAATTAACCAAATCACATAAAATAAAATGAGTTGCTCTACGACGGATACTTCTGAATATTTTTCTCACTGCAAACTCTCTAGATCTTACTAAATATATAGTGTTATGAAGCACAAATAAGAATGTTTTGGTAAATGGCTCAAACACAGGTATGAATACTTATTTTGCATACCACCATCTTAATAAACTCATGCTGTATCACTAGAGTAGAATCTTTATGATTTCAATAAGTAACCAAATAGTCTATCCACGAATATCTCCAGACATTTGTTTTAAGTTCAAATCCTAGCTGTTCAACACACATCTGCTATCATTAGAAAAAATTAAAACTAATTTTACTAAAATTTAAAACATCTCAATGCTCCTTAAAAATTTAAGGATGCCTTAGCAGGTCTCTGCTTTTTAATGAGCTGTTCCTAACTTTACCATGTGTTTTGAATTATTCAAAAATCAATCTCAAATCCTTAAATATACAAATTATCTTTCAATCAAGCAATTACTCGGTGCCTATGTGATGGCTAACAAGGTCTAATTTTGCCTTAGCAAATCTTGAAAAATAAACCACAAATATAACCATCAATAAACAATTTACTTCTAATATAAGAAAATAATGTAACATTTTTTATTCCAGTAAACAGAGTAAAAAGAAAACTAGTCATGGATGTCAATTTTAAAGATTCTGTACAGTGGAATCAACACTTAATATTTTTGTCCGAGTCTGTGTTTACCTGAGAAGAGCATTATATTTTACCCCTAATTATATTATTTCATCATCTGTTTCGTCTTTATTCACTGTGTTATAACTACTTGATTCTAGAACTTAAGAGACTCATTACATTCTATACTCCTTCATCTTATAATACCCAACTATCAAACAATATTTATCCCAGCAGTTCTGTATTGCAAAAGAAAGAAGAAACTGGCTGAAAGTGTACAATTAAACCCAAAGGGAATTTTCCCCTACCACAGTACTTACCATACAATATCTTTCTGCTCAATTTTCTGCTTTAGTAATAAAGAACACATAAACTCAGAGTTACTTCATTTGTTGCCATATAAGAGGTACTCAATAAATATTTCTTGAGTGAATTAATGAATAAATCAATAAACAAAGTACTTTATTTTAATGCTGCATGGCATACTACATACCTGGAACAAAACCTTTTAAAATGCATCACTTATCTAGCAAAAAATAATCCAGAAAAAAGAAAATGAAATAAAAGCAAGATCTCTACAGAATAAACTACCTTTTCTCCTGGTTTCTACTGAATGTTGTACTCTTTGAGCTTCCATAGTCATCAATGTAGAAGGAATGCAGAAGACCAGAGAATAAGACTAGGTTCTGCTGAAGATGTGTTGGGGTACTGGGTACAGTGGCACACACCTGTAATCCCAGGGACTCTGGTAGAGTAAGGCAAGAGGATCACAAGTTTGAGGCCAGTCTCAGCAACTTGTGAGGCCCTCAGCAACTTAGCAAGACCGGTCTCAAAACAAAAAATTAAAAAGGGCTATGGATAGCTCAGTGGTAAAGCACCCCTGAGTTCCATTTCTGGTACCAAAAAGTAAAAAAATAAAATAAAAACATGAAAATGGGGGTCAAACAGGAAATACCCAGATATAAAGCTACATACATAATTTAACTGTGAGCCAGAAATAAATAGCACACACAGAAAGCAATAATAATTAGGCTTATCTGTACTTTGGTGTTAAGTAGTATGGGAGGAAAAAAACAAAAACTCCCATGAAAATCCTAAGAACAAGTCAATCCTAAACCTTCACATGTGCAGTCTGAATCTGCACCAATAATGGAGTCTAAAAAATCTAAAGCAGAGAATCTAACTTAATATTGTCCCAAGTTGTGCACCCAGCAGCTAACAGAAGCAGAAGCAAAAGTAAACATTCTAGTCAAAGACAGCATCTTCCATCCAGGTAAAGATCAAATATTGTTTCAAAATAAAATAACTGCATGGAATAAGCAAATCACAGTTAAGAAACAGATACAAAATGAAAGCAAGATAGAGAGGAAAATGACAATATAGTGAGAATCAGAATTTTACATAGCAATTTTCAGTCACATTTGATAAAGTAATAAAAAGAGAAACTTGAAAATACACACAAGGAATGACAGATCAAGCAAGGTGAAAAACTTTTGTTGTAAAAATGAAATACATAATCATTGAATTTGGAAACCTAATATACATAACTAACCAGTAGATTAGAGGCAACTAAAGAGGAAATGAGCCCGGCACAATAGTACCCCGTAATCCCAGCAGCTTGGGAGGCTAAGGCAGGAGGATCAAGAGTTCAAAGCCAGTCTCAGCAACTTAGCGAGGCACTCAGTAACTCAATGAGACCCTGTCCCCAATAAAAATATTATAAAAAGGGCTGAGGATGTGGCTCAGGGGTTAAGCACCCATGGGATCAATTCCCAGTGCCAAAAAAAAAAAAAAAAAAATAGAGGAAATTAGTGAACTCAGTAGACCTGAGGAAATAATCTAGAATGCAGGCAAAAAGATAAAGAAACAGAAAATATAAAGAGAGAATTTAAAAATAAAATTATAAAATATAAAGAGAGAATTTAGAGACATAAAAAACAAAACTTGTAGAAAGTGTACAGTTTATGTGCCTACTTCAGAAAAGGAAGGCTCATTACAAATAAGCAAAGTATTTTACTGTTAATAAAAGAATGATAGAATAAACCTAAAGCAAGCAAAAAATGAGGCTATAACTAAAGAGTAGAAATCATGAAATAAAAAATAAATATGAGGGGCTGGGGTTGTGGCTCAGTGGTGGTGTGCTTGCCTTATATGCATGGGGCACTGGGTTTGATCCTCAGTACTACATAAATAAATAAATGAATAAATAAAAGTATTATGTACTACAACTAAAAAATTATAAAAAGAAATAAATATACAATATGATGGTTCAGAGTAAAAAATTAATATTTGAAAAATAATAAAAAGGGCTGGGGTTGTGGCTCAGTGGTGGTGTGCTTGCCTTATATGCATGGGGCACTGGGTTTGATCCTCAGTACTACATAAATAAATAAATGAATAAATAAAAGTATTATGTACTACAACTAAAAAATTATAAAAAGAAATAAATATACAATATGATGGTTCAGAGTAAAAAATTAATATTTGAAAAATAATAAAAAGGGCTGGGGTTGTGGCTCAGAGGTAGAGCGCTCGCCTAGCACCCGTGAGGCACTGGGTTCAATCCTTAACTCCACATCAAGTAAAATGAAGACATTGTATCCACCTATAACTAAAAACTAAATATTTAAAAAAAAAAAAAGAAAAAGAATAAAAAACAAAGATTTGACACAATTTATTTAAAAATAAGATAGATATTGGGAATGAAAAAAGAACTATCTGTGCAACTGAGGATGAACAGAATATTATGAGCTTTATGCCAATATATTAAAAATTCAGTTTAAATGTAAAAATTCCTAGAAAAAATATAACTTACCAAAACTGAATCAAAAATAAATAGAAAAACTAAAGAAATTAAAGCAGCAGTTTAATAGATCCCACAAAGAAAATACAAGTCAGGCTACTTTTACATAAAACTCTATCAGATATTCAAGGAGCATATAATTTTACACAAACCATTCAAGCATACAGGAAAAAAAAAAGATCTAAAAGTTTATACATACCTGTTTCATCTAATGATGGTACTTTTTCCACTCTGAGAGTTTGTGATCCCTGTCCTTCTTTCTGAACATTTGTAGAGTACAACTTTACTTGACTCAGCACACAAATATGTGGGTGACTATAGGGAACCATGTATGCAAAACTTCCAGCTGTCACTAAATTCCGCCATTCTAAAAGAAAAAAATATATTTTAATTTCAAACCAACTCCTAGGTGCACAATAACAATCTGCCTTCACTGGAGGTATCTCCCTAAGTATAGAGGAACATTTTGTAAAGAAAAAATACATTTTAAATTTTTTTTCTCTAATTTGTAAATTTATGTGGCAACTTAAAAAACACTTAAAGGCAAAACATTCATATTTGGGTATTCTGAAAAAAAGTATCTATCTAGACAGATACTCTTTGTTTTGTATGCTAGTTGTATACTAAAAAAAAAGTTGGCATAAATAGTAACAAAAACAGCATGGTACTGGCACCAAAACAGACTGGTAGACCAATGGTACAGAATAGAGGAGACTAACCCACAAAATTACAATTATCTTACATTAGACAAAGGTGCCAAAAACGTGCATTGGAGAAAAGATAGCCTCTCCAACAAATGGTGCTGGGAAAACTGGAAATCCATATGCAACAAAATGAAATTAAACCCCTATCTCTCACCATGCACAAAATTCAACTCAAAATGGACCAAGGACTTAGGAATAAAACCAAAGACCCTGCCTCTAATAGAAGAAAAAGTAGCCCTAACCTCCATTATGTGGGATCAGGCCCCGACTTCCTTAATAAGACTCTGATGGTGCAAGAATTAAAATCAAGAATCAATAAATGGGATAGATTCAAACTGAAATGTTTCTTCTCAGCAAAAGAAACAATCTGTGAGGTAAATAGAGAGCCTACATCTTGGGAGCAAATCTTTACCCTTCACACATCAGATAGAGCACTCATCTCTAGGATATATAAAGAACTCAAAATGCTAAACACCAAAAAACAAATAACCCAATCAATAAATGGGCCAAGGACCAGAACAGATACTTCTCAGAAGATGATATACAATCAATAAACAAATATATGAAAAACCGTTTATCATCACTAGCAATCAGAGAAGAGCAAATCAAAACTATTCTAAGATTTCATCTCACTCCAGTCAGAATGACAGCTATTATGAATACAAACAATAATAAGTGTTGGCAAGGATATGGGGGAAAAGGTACACTCTCCTACATTGCTGGTGGGACTGAAACTTGGTGCAGCCAATACAGAAAGCAGTATGGAGATTTCTTGGAAAATTGGGAATGGAACCACCATTTGACCCAGCTATCCCTCTCCTCAGACTATACCCAAAGGACTTAAAAATAACATACTACTACAGGGAAACAGCCACATCAATGTTTATAGCTACACAATTCACAATAGCTAAACTGTGGAACCAACCTAGATGCCCTTCAATAGATGAATGGATAAAAAAAATGTGGCATATATACACAATGGAATATTACTCAGCAATAAAAGAGAATAAAATCATGGCATTTGCAGGTAAATGGATGGAGTTGGAGAAGATAATGTTAAGTGAAGTTAGCCAATCCCAAAAAACCAAATGCCGAATGTTCTCTCTGATATAAGGAGGCTGATTCATAGCTGGGTAAGGAAGGGAAGCATGGGAGAAATAGACGAACTCTAGATAGGGTAGAGGGGTGGGAGAGGGAGGGAGGGGGCATGGGGTTAGAAATGATGGTGGAATGTGATGGATATTATTATCATGTATGAAGACATGAATTGGTGTCAATACATTTTGTATACAACCAGAGATATGAAAAATTGTGCTCTATATATGTAATAGGAATTGTTATGCATTCTGCTGTCATATATGAATAATTTTTTTTTAAAGTTGGCATATTTTTCAAAATAGAAGACTCCATGGAGGCGGTAGGGTGTCAGGAGGGCTTTCTACTCAAAATTATTCCCTGCCCTCTTTTCACTTGCTGGAGATTCATTAATGTAATTATAATGACATTAATTAATTATAAACATTAATTAATTCATATTGTCACTTATTTCTAATCAGATAATTAGATCAACATTTGGTGAGATGTCTCTATATATGGATATTTTAATTGAGGAAAGAATAAGAAGACTAATTATGAAGTACTTCAGTTGTTGCATCTGGGTTGACTGTGGGCTTTGCAGGACTAAAGGAGAATATAGTCCACTTTGCACTAAAGTGATAGAAACACAATGTCTTTACATTCTGGCGAGTCTCTTTTTTACTATGAGTACTTAGAATTCCCCTTTTAGAAAGAACTCAAAAATTCTGTCTAGACACAATTCATATTCTTTGAAGTTTTAGATGAAATCATATTATAGATAATCTAGTTTTTCTAAGTGAAGGGTTGAGCAGTTCAGAACTGAAATTTTCTAACTTAATAATAATCATGCAAAAATCTTAATTCATGTATGTGTGTATGCAAATATATACCTTCTGAAATAAAGAAAAACCTTTTCTTAAAGGCACAGAGAATACATCAGAAATACAGTTTATTGTGAATGCTGAAGATAATTTAAAGAGCACAAAGGACATAAGGCAATATTATTCACTCAAGTTTTAAGATTGGAATTTATTTTCTTGGAAAATATATTCCACAATGGCACTTTCAATTATTTGGCAAATTGCTGGAGGTCCAGTATATTTTTAGCCATTTGCATCTGTTTCCTAAATGCTGAGTAGACAAAACATAACTTGGAAGATTCCTGCACAATGTAACCAGTTAGCAAAATTAACTAGTGAAACAAGAGCTCAAGAAGTCCCCCAAAGAAATCCATGCTCTAGATAAGCTTCTTCTTCACTGGGGACGCTGGCATTCTGACTTTTCAGTCCTATTCAAAATAACTTTTATAACTGTTCCTCAACAAGGACTACATGGCACCAACACTTTTTCTCATCCATTAATGAAATACTTTTATAGAGTTTGTGCTAAAGTATTTAAAGAGAAATTACTCCACAGCCTAAAAAATCCTTCCTCAGAAGATGACTTTTTTCTTATGACCTGATGCTAGAGTTTTTCAAAATTCATTTTTAAAATATTTTGTTAAAGTCCAAACATATACAAAGATAATAAAAACAGTACAATAAACTTTCACATATTTGTTACCGACTTTCAACAATTATAAACTCATGGGAATCTTGCCACATGTCTAATTGTACCAATATCTACACGCTACCATATTAAACTGAAGCAAATCTCAAACAGCAAATAATATCATTCATAAATACTTAAGTATATATATATATCTAAGAGGCATATTAAGATGTCTTTTAATTCTCTTTAAAGTTGCAGAATGTCTTTTTTATGGGTGTGGGTGGGGAGGTACCAGGGATTGAACTCAGGGGCACTTGACCATTGAGCCACATCCCTAGACCTATTTTGCATTTATTTAGAGACAGTGTCTCACTGAGTTGCTTGTCACCTCACTTTTGCTGAGGCTGGCTTTGAACTTGCAATCCTCCTGTTTCATCCTTCTGAGGTACAGGGATTACAGGCGTGCACCATAGCACCCAGCAGAATCTCTTTTTTTCTTTTTTTTAACTGAACATATTTATGTTGAACCAGTTGTCTTGAATTTTTGTCCTGGTAGTTTCTTAGAATTCAGATCCTGCGGACTGAATTCCTAAGGTGGTGTTTAACCTATTTGATATATTTTAATCCATTTCAATCATTATCCGGAGTAATGCTAAAATTGTTCCATTCTTGGCCAGTAGGAGGTCTCTTCAAATCTTTTACCCTATTCTAGTAATCTTAACTTCCTAATGAACTATTCTGAAAGTTCTTAATTTTTACCCTCAGTAGAAATTCAGGCATCTGCAACTTTAAAAGTATATACTTGGCATCAAGACACAAAACTGATTATATTTTAAAAACTAAACAGGACCATATATGAGTCAAACAATCAAACAAATGTAGTTAGTAACTAAGCAGCAGCAGCAGAACCAACCATTTGCTGTAAGAATTATGAACTAATTAATTCTAGCACGCAGTAATGTAGTAAAAAACACTACCACTATTATTGTCCTTTCTTGTAGGTGACATCTAAAATAAGCTATGCATGGAATATCAGTCCTTAGTTTGGCACTCAGTAGTCTACCAAACTGGACAAGGCCTTTCTTATTGCTGGATATGTAAGGGCTGTTTTTGTTTTTTTTTTTTTTTTAAAGAGCGAGAATTTTTTAATATTTATTTTTCAGTTTTCGGTGGACACAACATCTTTGTTTGTATGTGGTGCTGAGGATTGAACCCGGGCCGCACGCATGCCAGGCGAGCGCGCTACCGCTTGGGCCACATCCCCAGCCCTGTAAGGGCTGTTTTTCATCAAGATTGTGGAATATCAGTCCAGTCACAAACATCACTAGTCATTCACAACAATTCTCTGCTTTTATTTTACTATTATTTCCTCCATAGCTCCTAAAGACCACTGCTACTGATCACCAGTTGTCCTCTATTTCCAGTCTGGTTTGTCACCCATCACTTACTCTAGGTTTCAGGGAAAAAAAAAAAAAAAATGGCCTTTGTGTTTAGACTGCAAACAACAACAAAAAGAAATTCCTTTTTCCCAAAGTGACAATCTATGGTATATGTTGATTCTACAGAAACACTAGCTAAAAACAAAAAGATTGCTTGAAGTTTGAGCTTATTTCTGGCTAATTGCAAGACAAGAATCAAGCTACTGCTTGGAGGTTGAGTTTATTTCTGGCTAATTGCAAGACAAGAATCAAGCTTGTAGCCTCTTTTCCAGATGTCAGTCTCCTTTCTGAAGAAAACTGGTTCAGTAGTTTTTTACCCAAAATTTTGAAACCACTGACATATAAAAATTAAATAATTATTATAATTATTATTAAAGAGGTTACTAAGTGTGAATTTGAAATATGTACAGAATGCAAAGACTATTCTTCATGGTATTATTTATCATAGAAAAAACAGAAACAACTTAAATGTTCCCTAGCAGAAAAAATGATCACATAAGGCAGGCCCCTATATTTTCATTAAAAACTTCTAAAAAGAAGGAAAAAAGCATGAGACTAATACACTATGATTTTGACTACTAAAAATGTGACTAGTAAAATATCATGATTATGTATAATTTTTACTTTATACCTTCTACTATTCTGTACTAAAAAATATCTATAGTAATAAACTAAAAATATATCCATTGCTAAATTATCTAGAAATTCTTCAAGGTCTTTAACATCATCATCATAACTTATAATATAGTCTATGATGTGACTTCTCTAGAACACAGTAAGGAACGGGTCATTTTTTTTTTTTTTGAGTAAGGAAACAACATGTGATGCTAACAAATTCCCGCACTGCATCTTGGCATGCATCGCTATTATCTTAATTCTTCCTGACATTTAGAAAAACTAAAAACAATAAAAAACATCTACCATTGAGGATTTACCAAGTACTATACATCCTGCTAAAGGCTTTTTACATACTATCAACTTAATTCTCCAAAACATATCTCAAATCTATTTCTCTCATCTCCATTGCTAACCAGCATCGTCCTAACACAACCCTGCTTGCCTCAATAACTTCATAGTCCCCTATCTCCTCTATCCATACTCCACCCTTTCCAATCCATTCTTCACCCAGTAGTCACAGTGTATTTTTATAACACTGCCTTTTGTTTTTAAACTAGTGGCCTAAAAGGGTCTAACAACTCTCAAACTTCATTTCATTCCACCTACCTTATACCCCAGGCACAGCAGATTTTTTTTTGCTCCAGAATAGTACTCATGGTTCCACGTTGCTTTCTGGTCTGCTCACTCCCCTAGATTTTAACCTGGCTTGCTTATTTTCATCTTTCACGAAATGAAAAGTCCAAGGCCAGCACTAACAAAATGGCCCCTCTTGGTTACTTTCTAGTCCATCACTCTGCTTTTTTTCTTTTACAGCAGTTTAGACTTCATATTTTGGGTATCTGACCAATAAAGATGGAAACTGTCTTGCTCAGGACTAATACTACCTACAAAAACAATGCCTAGCATCTCTCTGCAGAATGAACCCCACTCAACAAATACCCCATGAGGTACATACTAGCCAATAAGTAGTAAATTCTTCAAAGGTATATGTCTATATTTTTCAGTGTTTGGAGCATTTGTACATTCCTATCGGCCGATAAAATTTCTTTATTGATTTATTATTTTCTTTGACCATTTTTCTACTGGAATGTTCACAAGTTTCTTTATTTTCTTTCTTATTTTTTTTCCTTTTCTTATTCTTTTTTTTTTTTTTTTTTGGTACCAGGGATTAAACTCAGGAGTGCTTATTCCTAATTTTGAGACAGGGTCTTGCTGTGTTGCTGAGGATCGCTTTGAGCTTATGATCCTCCAGCATCAGCCTCCCACGCAGCTGGGATTAAAAGTATGCACCACCATGCTCGGCTGTAAAAATTCTTATAAATTAGGGATACTGACTCAAGAATACACTATCCAATAGTCTTTGTGTATTGAGCATTTGAAGTGTGGGTTAATCTAAACTAAGAATTGTTGGAAGTGTAAAATACTGGATTCTGAAGACTTAATAAAGAAAGAAAATGTAAAACAGCTTAATAATTGAGAGAGGAAGGGGCTAAAAATGCTTCTGAATGTGTAAAGTATGCACAGAACCCTTTAAACAGCTGACTTAATTTTCAAACTCAGAGTAGTGACATCAAGTTATTGAAGAAAACTGGAGTTTCCATTCTCTGTAACTCATGATTCAGATACTTTTAAGTTTATAAAGGCTTCAACTGCCCTTTGATTTCCTGCAATCTCCCATGCCTGGTATGAGAACTGCCCCCTATAACTCAATTTTAAAAATGATTGTATGGTTGAAATGTTTTGAACATACTGGGAAATTTTATTAATTTAATTTATATTTACATTTTTAAATGTGGCTACCAGACAACTCAGAATGGGGTTCTCATTGTTTTTGTACAGGAAAGCTCTTGAATACTATTTTGCCTTTAAAGGAATGCCTCATCTTTTTTTTTCAAATCAAGCAACTGTTTTCCTCAAGGTTTCCTCCTCTCTTTATTCTCTGCCTCAGCAACATAGGCACATAGGCACTTTTGAAGCAAAAATTGACTTTGTAAAACATCTGTTTTTTGGATCCCTTCCTCCCAACCAAAAAAAAAAAAAGGTTCTTCAAATAGTCTTTTCTTCTCACAGGCATCGAGTTCAAATAGTATTTTTTCCCAATGTTTTTTTTTAATACTTTTACTTATTTATTTTTTATTTATTTATTTTTATATGGTGCTGAGGATTGAACCCAGTGCCTCACATATGTGAGGCAATCACTCTGCCCCTGTGCCACAATCACAGCCCATGGTTTTTAAATTTTATTATAATTATGGTTCCCTTTTAAAAAGTGTTTCAGTATTAAACTAAATTCCCACAAACATGGTTATATTTAAAACCTAATGTTTTCAACCCACTTTAATTGTTGTAGTACTAAACATTTCAAAGAACTTTGCAAAGTCATCCTGACTAGTTAGAGTGGTAATTATTATCTATGTTTCACAGACGGATGAGACAAAGAGTGTACATAATTTCCAGCTAAAGAGAACAGGGATTTCAAATTACACTATTTCAATATTTTACCAACATTAAGTTTAGATTAAATTTAACAACCAATAAGTGTAATTTCATTGTAAAATGCCAAACTGTTTGATTAATAGAAACAATTACTTGAGGATTTTTGGAGTATAGTATATAACCAGATGATTCATTATGTTCATTAGCGAGTCAGGTATATTGTCACTATAAAAAAACTCAATAGTTACACTTTTCTATCACTAACAAAATGCACCAAGTACTATACTATTAAAATAAATCCGTTTAATATTTTAAGAACTAGGTTTTACATTTATTACATTTGTAAGACAAATATATTCTAATTTATTTTCACAGCATACAACGTAAGCCAATTTACAAACCCAATTACTGCAACTTCCATCTTCTATTGGAAGGTCACAACATGCTACACATTTTCAAACATTAATTTTTTGAAAATGTTTTTGTAAATAATCCTTGCATTCCCAAGTATTTGGAGGATTCTATTAGGGACAAATTTAGTTCTATCTTCTCCCTCAGGGTTCCCATCTGTTCCTGATGTCAAGCTACTGCAAAAACAGGGTATGACTGATTGATTACAAGCTCAATGTTCATTTGAAACCTCTCTAACAAATTTAAGTAAGAAAAAAAAAATCTGAACCACCTTTCCCTCTCCTAGGTTACTACTGCTCCAGGAAACATTTCACCAGTGGGACTGTTAGATGAACTGAGAGTTCTTTTGTTTTGCGGTCCAAAATGGGATTCATTCAATGCCTGTGGAATGCCCTCATACTTCTTAATCCGTAATGTTGTGTGACATCTCCACTTTTCTTTTAGGAAATTTAAGGAAACAAGTTGAGAGCAGCGAATGAATCTCTCAGTCAAAAGTGCTAAGTGAAGGTGAGTCCGTGAGATCAAAAAGCTCAGGAACTCTGCGGATCCGCCATTTCCGACTGACTAGGGGCTCATCATCCGACACCACGAAGCGCACGTTAAGGTTTTGTTTATTACAAAGTGGTCAGCTTCAGGGACCGGGCCGGCCCGGGCTGGGGCTGCAGGCGGCACCAGGATCAGGAGTACCTGTCACGTCCGTTGAGGGATGGGCAGGCTGACCCCTAAAGGCGGAGTCCGGAAAGAAAGGTTCTGGGGTTGGGAAAGGGCAAGGTGATCACTGCCCGAAGTGACGCGCCGAGCCTAAGTCCGGCCCGGCCCGGCCCGCGGAACCAGCGGCCAGCAAGGGACACTCACCCTGGCGGTCGCTGGAGCCACGGGCCGCTGCCGTGCAGCGCAGATGAAGCCGGTGGAAAGAGGACCAGCTACATCGGTAGGCCGCAGCGGCGGCGGCCAAGCCCGGTAACATCCTGGCGGGGCAGAGGCCCCTACTCGGACACCGCCTCCTGCCTCGGCGCCGCCGCCAGCACCAACTGCCTCCATAGACTGGACACCAGCAAACACGGATGCCTGCGCCGCCGAAGGCGGCCTCAACGACCCGGAAATCGTAATGATATTTAATGACGCCGGCTTTGGAGACAGCGGAAATGACGTAACGCGCTAAGCGCGAATCGCGAGCCTTCCCTATGTAAACGGTCCGCTCGAGAGGGCGTGGCGGTCGGTGGAAGTGGGTGTTGCCCTGTATTCTGTTCGTACCAGTGCTTTTGCTTGCGCTGGGCTGGAAATCATCCCTCCCCTTGTTTGCGTTTTAGCGCCACGAAAACCATGAGAGAAGCGACGGCCTTTGGGAACGATGCCTTCTTCTTTCTTTGACTTCTTTTAACTGGGCTTTGTAGCCTGAGCCATGGTGTTGGAAATGGGAGGAAAGGTGAGAAGGAGTCTTCCTCAGTACTTCCCCTAGAAGTCCTCGAACTCATGGTACTTCGTTCTCCTTGTGTGTAATCACTATCAAGAAAGTAAGAAGTACGCACTTGGGAATTACTTGCCTAATTTGTGAACCTGAGATTCTCGTCTGTAATATAATAAAATTAGAGATTTTATGTGTTTATGATAATTTGGGATAAACGAAGGTGTGAAAATTTGGAAACAACCTGGTCCCAAGGAGAAAGAAACCTGAACAACATTCAATACAAGCCTGTTTATTTCTGATATGCTTGTTAGGGCCTTAGCTCAAATTCAAGAGAGGTCTTTGATGACCCAACCTGTAACTGGTGTTGTCATTCTGTACCTCGTTGCCAAGTGTACTTTTCTTTAAAACGCTATTTGAAATTATTTATTATTTTGTTTTCTGCCTCCTGGAGTAGAAAATAAGCACCATGATATTGGAATTCTCCGTTTCTACATTGCTGTTTTCAAGGGGCTAAAACAGTGCCTGGCACAAACTGAATGGACCGCATGATGGTTTGTTTTAGTCTGAGTGGCTCAACTGTATAACTACAAGATAACTACTTAGAGAGGAAATTAATTAGTATGTTCCTAATTTGAACAGAATCAACATAGTCTTTTATACCAATTAAGTATAATCAGGTGAATGAGTAAATAGTTACAAGAATGGAAAGTAAATTTAACAGAAATTCAACTTACTGTGTGTGGCCCACACCTGTAACCCTAACAACTTGGGAAGCTGAGACAGGATGATCACAAGTTAAAGGTCAGCCTCTGCAATTTAGCCAGGCCCTAAGCAACTTAGCAAGACCCTGTCTCAAAATAAAGAAATAAAAAGGGCTGGGGATGTAGTTCATTGGTAAAGTGCCCCTGGGATAAATCCTCCATACAAATTTTTTTCAACTTTATGATAAAAATACACAAAGGCTTCTAACTTTATAGTAAATGTATGTAAAATATTCATTAACATTTATGAATAATTCTTTCTGAACAAAATTAACCTAACGTTTTGCATTGTTAAAGTGGTCCTGGTTTCCACTGTCATTTTAAAGATCAAAGTAAGTGCTTAAGTTTGTTTTGTTTTGTGCAATGGAATTTTATTCTTTTTAATCTAGTTTTTAATCTTAGAGGAATATACTTACTTTTCTGATAAGAAACTTTTAAGATATATTTTATGTAGGTGTTAAAGTAATTTTAATAATAGCCATGTGATGTGAAGAACTTAATACTGATATATAGTAAATTTTCACTATGTGTTTTTCCCTGCCCTCCTTTTTTGGGTGAGGAGGGTAGGGCACCAGGGATTGAACCTAGGAACACTCAACCACTGAGCTGCATTTCCAGCCCTACTTTGTATTTTATTTAGAGACAGGGTCTCAATGAGTTGCTTAGTGCCTGGCCACTGCTAAGGCTGGCTTTAAACTTGGAATCCTCCTACCTCTGCTTCCTGACCTGCTAGTATTTTAGGCATGTGCCACCATGCCTGGCTCTACCCTCCTTTTTCTTGATATAGGCAGGTGTAACTTGATGTAGACAATTTTTACAAACCTCCAGTAGCCTTGATTTGCCAAATAAGTTTGAAAAATAATGGATCATACTATTATTTTATTTAACCCTGCACAAGGCTTGAAATACTTCTATATTGCTCTTTACACCCACATCATATACTTGTCCTGCTAGATAGTCTTCAAAATTTTCCCAAGTCTTGAAAAATTAATGTCAGTTTGAGAGTTCCTTAGGAAATTTTCCTTTTAATTCTTTGAGAAATCCCATCCTTACTAAGAAATTTTACTTTTATGCTCCTTGACACACATTCAGCATTTGCCTGTATGTATTAAACAGGTAAGATTCCAGCATCATAGAGTTTATTTTCTGTTGAAGGAGGAAACAAATTTTTTTGCGGGGAGGGGTATAACAGAGATTGAACTCAGGAGTGTATAACCACTGAGATACATACCCAGCCCTTTATTTTTTTGCGACAAGGTCTCACTAAATCCATAGGGCTTGCTAAGTTCCTGAGGTTGGCTTTGAACTTGGAACCTTCCTGCCTCAGCCTCCCAAGCCACTGGAATTACAGGCATGTGCGACTGTACCCAGCTGATACAGAAAATTTAAACACATAATTTTAAATAATGATAGTAGTAGCAACATTGATTATTTACTGAACCTTTAGGTCCATTACACCCTTCCTAACACCTTATCAAATTCTAGATGAAGAAACTAAGGCACAAAGACCTTTCTCTTAAGCACCACTCTTTACTTTAGAGTCAGTGGGTACTATTCTTTCAAAGATTTGAATGACAATGTGATCTCATTTATTTCTGGAATGTAGATGAAGAGTGAGAATTTTCCCAGAAACTCTTAAACATCATTTTATGTGTGATCAATGTAATTTTAGTTTGTATGAGTTTCATGAAGATTCCTGATATAAAAAGATGCCTAAATATAGACAACTGTTATGTCAGATAGAAGGAAATAGATGCAGGAAAGAGGTCAAGTGTCATTTTAATTTCCATACACTATAACTCCTATAAGGTTCTCTATTAACTCTGAAGTCCCAACACCTTTCAGAAACTTGCTTCTAAAACTGAATCAGACTATTCCTTGGTTTCATCCTGTTGATAGCTTTGGGGAAATGATGATTCAGATCATGAGACAAACTTGGCTGGTTACCTGGAAAATTGACTTAAATAATCCATTAGAAAATAAATCCAGTGGCTATCCTAAGGCACATCAGAAACAAATTTAGCACAGATATATTAGTTGCCATTATGTTCTTTTTCCTCAGGCAAAAGAAGGAGCTGTCCCATGAGAACACCTTTATCATAACGTGCGGATAAAAATGATAATCATGGCTACCAAGGGTGTCACACTCTGCCGTGGTCAAAAGTAAAGTGGATGTGCACAGACACATTTTGTACATATAGGCAAACTTCTCCTGCATAAATAAAGAAAGGGCAACTTGGAGTTGATATGATTTCAGACCAGGTTGCTAATCCTCCCTTTCATTTTCCAGAAGTTGAGATTTTTTCCTCCCATTTCATTAAGCAAGAATGTGATAGGAAAAAAAAGAAGAAGAATGTGATAGAACATGGAATCAGACTCTGGTCCTTTGACTCCAAATCTCTGTATGTGCTGAGTAAGGGGGTGGGGGAAAAGGGTAGGTTGTTCTCACAGATCCTCCACCTCTGACATTCTAAGTTGTTTGTGGATTTTTTTGTGGGTTTTTTTTTTGTCACAATTTTTTATAAATACACACACTTTATTCAGAAGTTAGTAAGACTGGGATTACAGTTGGGGAAAGAGTTACTAAATATGCTTGGGGGCAAAAGAAACTGAACATTTGGGTAATATTTGTGGTGAGAAAAAAGCTAGGGACGGAACTTGGAGATTTGGTACTTCTTGAGAAGACAATATTTGTGGAGTCATTTTTTTTCCCTGAAACCACAGTTAGACACACCAAGAGAAATTCTCATTCAATTTTTTTCTTTTTCAGAATTTAATTTAGCAAGGCCCTAAGCAACTTAGCAAGACCCTGTCTCAAAATAAAAAAAATAAAAAGGGCTGGGGATGTAGTTCATTGGTAAAGTGAAAATAAATCCAGTGGTATTTTTTGTTGAGGTATATTCAGAAGATGCAATTCTTAAGGGCACACATTTTCACTAGTGAACAAAACTATGAAACCAGTACCCAGCAGTGCCAGCTTCCCAGAAGCCTCTCTGGTTATCACTGTCTCCTACCCTGAAAGTGTACCATTAATCCTGATTCTAACAGAGTAATTTTGCCTTTTTGTGGACTTTGTATGCACAAATTGTATGCTACATACACTTTGGGTTTGGCTTTTTTATCTCAACATTGTGTTTGTGGAATTCATCTATATTGTGTTTTTTATTTTTGCTAGATAGGATTCTATTGTATCCCACAATTTATCCATTCTACCACTGATGAGCATTTTGGTGATATCCAATTTAGGGCCATTAACAAATTATGTTGGACACATGTATGCATTTCTAATGGATACATTCCTAGAACCAAAATTACTGGATTACAGAGAAATGCACACTTCCAGCTTTAGCAGTTACTAACAGTTTTCCATAGTGCTTTTATCTGTACATACTCCCATCAGCAATTTTTGAAAGTTCTGTTTGCTCACAACTGCATCAACATTTGTTATTCTTTTTTATTTTAATCACTGTGGTGAATTTGTAATGGCATGGCATTGTAATTTTAATTTGCATTTTCTTTTTTTTTAAAATTTTTAATATTTATTTTTTAGCTTTCAGTGGACACAACATCTTTGTTTGTATGTGGTGCTGAGGATCGAACCCGGGCCGCACGCATGCCAGGCGAGCGTGCTACCGCTTGAACCACATCCCCAGCCCCTAATTTGCATTTTCTTGATGATAAATGAAGTTGGACACCTTTTAAAAAATAAATTTTGTCTTTTTGGATCTCCTCTTCATATTCTATTCAAGACTCTTGCCCATATTTCTTTTTAGTGTGTTGTTCATCCTTATTAAAAGCTCTTTATGTTTTTCTAAAAGCAAGATTTTCTTGGATATATGTATCACAACATCTAGATGATGGTTTTTGTTTGTTTGCAGAACTGAGAATGGAACCCAGGGCCTCATGAAAGCTAAGCTAGTGCTTTACCA